CAGATGATAGGTGAGGGTGATTGTGGAACAATTGGTGGATTGAAGATTGGCAGGAGAAACCGAAGTACTTGAAGAAAACCTGCCCCAGTGCCACTTTGTCCAGCACAAATCCCACTTGACCAGACCCGGGATCGAACCCAGGCCGCCAAGGTGGGAGGCCAGCGACTGACCACTCGAGCTATGGGGTGGCCCTATTCTTGATGTACATGTAGGGTTAAACCCTCCCTCCCCCATCTAACTGAAATGTGCCTTTGTTTGGTATTCCTGGAAGCACCCAAGAATGCACAGTTCCGTATGATGTACCTTGTACCTCAACAGCCCCTCAATATCATCATCTTTCAGATGATGTTTCAGTGTCATTGTGTGATGAAATGAAACTACAGTGTTTGAATTCATAGAAAACTGAATTCACTTTGTATCTTAGCCACAATGCAAGTTTTTGGTTGCAACCATAGAAAGGGCAATGATTTATTGCAGTTGCAGTGGGAGTGCTTGGGGTTTATGTATGAAACAAAGAATTTTCTTTCCAGTCTCTCTTGTTAAATTCCCATCGCTCACTTTTCTCTTCCTCTATTCAACAGAGTCAAATAACTGAAGAAGTAGCAAAAAAAGGTGAATATTACAAACATAATAATAGAACATGGTTTTAGTGGTTCCAGATGTTTTATGACACCAGAGGCAACTGAAGTATGATGAGTGTTATAAGAAGGAATGATTTTATAATGTGGGCCCAAGCACCCCATACCAAAAAATGCAGGAATAACTTGTTCAAAATAAATTTTCATGGTACTTATTGCCGTCAAATGTTGAAATCTGACACACTCTGTTGTTTTAATATTCAGGATAATAATTGTGATGGGCATTTTATGAGGTGATTTGGTCAGGTAGAAGCCTGAGTATTTAACCATCATCCAGTTTATTGAAAATCCAAATTATAGAAGTGCTACTGGAAACATGTTCATGGAAGTTAGCATCCTTTTAATCAATGCAACTTTGTTTTGAAACTTAGATTACGTATCATAAAATAAATTAATTTGTCATAAAATGTAAAAATGTAAGTTTTGACATCATACTTAGTATTATTGAAGCTGTGTTTAAAAATGGTTTGCGCTTCTCCCTTTTACTACATCTTGCTGATCATGTCAGTGTGATAACAAAGGTCATAATATGCATAAAAACAGTTGTCCAAATTATCATAAATTCTGAATTAGTGAGATTTCACCTAGCTTGACAATTCTCTCTCTTGTATATCCACTCCCTCATATGTCTTTATGGTGTAATGCTTAATTAGTTAAGCACAAGCACAACTTTACCTTATCTATCTATTTTACTTTTCTAATATCAATATTGTACAATTTTGCTAGAACTTTGTGGAGAGATATGAAGCGATAGTAAGTGATCATCAGCAGTATAGCAAGGCTGTGATGGATACCCAAGAATGGTTGGATGCCACACACAATACAGTCTTACTGTGGGGTGACATGGATCTTGAAAGAATTTCTCTACACACAAATTTGGAAAGGCTAAAGGTAAATAGAGTTAATCATAATATTTGAAATCCCTCTTGGATTATGCTGACACTGGCTTAACTGTAATGCATATATACTGCCATAATCAAATCAAACAATGTTAGGTCAGTGTGGAGTGTTTCTTTTGTCTGCTTATACTTTTCTATCTTTGAATTGAAAGCAAAAAGGCCGTCTGTACTGTGTAATTAGCCAAGTGCTGGGTGTGAGAGATGAAGACTAAGATATTGTCATGTGTAAGGGAGTGCACGTGACGAAATGACGGGTTCTAGTTCAGATGATTGGATTTATTAACAGCTTGGTTACACCCACTCTCTTGATTACACTCTAATACATCTCTATCACTGATTCACATACACCTTATAAGCCACTGTTGCATCGCACACATAAAGTCTTCTAAATCACACTTTAAATCTTCACAGGTCTTCTACGAACTCCCAATACTCCCAGTACTCTCCAAATACTCCATCCTCAATACTCAGTACTCATAACTCATACTCAATAATGCCTGAAGTCAAAGTCAAAGTCACATTGCAACTGACAGTCAGTCAGTCAGTCAGTAAGTCTTGGCATCGAGGCTCTTCTGGGGCTCATGACCATATATTTATTACTGTTCAGCAGTTATGGGTTTGTTTGTGTGGGGCGCCCTTTCTGACAGGACGATGGGTCTATCTTTTGTATATGCTGCCAGCGCAGTCTTTCTTGGATCCATTTCCCTTGGGACTTGAAACTGTATTTTACTGTCTCAGATTTGAGACTTCCCTTTTCGTCCTTATATAGGCTTGGCACAGACCACACAGGAAACACATTGCTGCTCGGCAGCAGATATCAGGTGTTTTCAGCCATGCCTACCCACACATTGCCTAGCAATGGACGCCCTACTGTTGCATGATGTCAGCCTAGCGGGGAGAGGCGTTTATCAAGTGTCATTCAGCAATGGGATGAGTGGGGTATGTGACGTTACTTGCGCTTCCAGTTGCACCATCGAAGCGTTCACAGAGTTGTCGCCTAGCAATGCACCAATAAAATCTGCAACTCTCATGTGTGTGTGCTCCGAGGTCTCTGTGGCTCAACAGTTCCTGCATAGAGCCCATATACCACAATACTTTGATATGCTGCCTGGTCAGAACTCTTGCACATTTTCTGAAATATTAATTAAAATGTAAATCCCAGCTTAGAAACTTATAGTGAATGACAGTATTTAATATGATTCTGATTTCTAAATTTGTATTGTTTTTATTAGAATCTGCAACTGAGCTTACCAGAGGAAGAGCCAAGAATTTCTCAGATTCGATCTCTTGGAGAGAAGGTTATACCCAGTACTGTGGAATCGGGTCAAGTGAACATCAGAGCACAAATTGATTCTTCACAACAGGAATGGGAGGGACTTATCTCAGCAGTCAAGTAAGATATATTTAATTTGCTGTAATTTCTCAGACTCCAGTCAGATGCATACATACAGCTGCTAGAAAAGGCTTTAGGACCAAGACATCATAATTGCTTAGACTTTCTTACTTACTCATGGAGCTGAGCCCTTCTGGAGGCGCTGCCAATTCTGCAGCTACTCAAGAATTTCCCAGCATTTTATGGAACCTGAAGGTTCATTACCGTGTTCACCAGTGCCCTCCACTGGTCCCTATCCTGAGCCAGATCAGCCCATCCTGTCTCTCTAAGATCCATTTTAATATTCTACACCCACCTACTCCTTGGTCTTCCCAGTGGTCTCTTTCCTTCTGGCTTTCCCACCAATATCCTATACGCATTCCTTGTCTCCCCCATTGGTGCTACATGCCCTGCCCACCTCATCCTCCTTTACTTGATCATTCTAATTATACTTGGAGAAGAGTACAAATTATGAAGCTCCACATTATGCAGTTTTCTCCAACCTCCTGTCACTTCATCTCTCTTTGGTCCAAATATTCTCCTCAACACCCTGTTCTCAAAAACCCTCAGTCTTTGTTCCTACCTTAATGTCAGAGACCAAGTTTCAGACCCATACAGAACCGCAGGCAAAATTATAGTTTTGTATATTCTAATTTTTATGTTTTTTGACAGCACATGAAAAGACAAAAGGTTCTGGACTGAGTGGTAGCAAGCATTACCCGAGTTCAATCTCCTCTTAATTTCCTCCTGAATCAGGTTTCGATCTGTTACCGTTGTTCCAGAATATCTGAATTATGCCACATTTTAAAAACATCTGTTTCCTATCTTTATATCATGATTCTGCCCTGCATTTTCGTGACGAGACAGCAACATATACTTAGTTTTCTTTGTGTTTACTTCCAGACCAACCTCTTTACTTGCGTCAGTTAAAGTTTGTGTGTTTTTCTTTTTGGTATCTACATTATCACCCAGTAGATTCACATCATTGGCATAGGACAACAGCTGAGGTGTCCCATTTAATTTCAGTCCCACCTGGTTTCCCTGGACTTTCCTAATGGCATATTCTAAAGCAAAGTTGAAAAGGAGTGGTGATAAAGAATCTCCTTGTTTTAGACCATTCTGGATTGGAAATTTATCAGACAGATGTTTACTTACACCGACTTTACTAGATGTTTCGTTTAAACACATTTTAATCAACCTAACTAGTTTCATGGGTACCACAAACTCTATCAGAATATTGTATAATACTTTCCTCCTAACTGAATCATGGGCTTTCTTGAAGTCTGTGAATAGCTGATGTACTGTCTCATCATACTCCCATTTTAATTGATTATACTCGGAAATTTTATTCTTGTAGTAATAAATAAAATTAGAAAGAGGCACTTTTCTTTGAAATTAGCATATTTGACACCTGAACTTTCACTATACTTCCTACTAGATTCTTCAAGACACAACTTGTGGTGTAGAATAAGTAAGAGTAATATCAGTTCTCCTTACCACCATGAATATCACCTGCTAGATATTATGGTTCATATTCATGATGATGGCAGTGTCTAAGGTTAACAAAGGATACCAGTATTGAAGTGTTGGTGGGAAGTGAGCCATTAGCTAACAGTTCTAGGTGTCTTGTTGATTTCAAGAATGTGATAGTTTCTTGACATTCATTTTCAATAGACTCACTTACCATATATGAACTATCTTTTACATTGTAATTTTGGAGTTATTTACTTCTTACCCATCTAAATAATTACCTGAGTTATATTTAACTAGTAGAATTACCCAGATAAATACCATTCTGGGTAGGGGATGTTAATATCTTGGAAGTATACAGTTTCAAGTTAATGTTTTTACTCTGTTATGAGTGTCTGAAGTATAAATATGTTTAAGTCCTTTATTTGTAAGCAGTGTAGTCTTGATAACCAGCGAACCAAGAAATAAATAATATAGCAAGTATCATGTAACTTCGAACAAGGCCAAGAGTAACCTTGAATGCGCAGAAGAAAAATTTCAGACACCCTTGAACCCACCCCCTTGTCTGAAATTTTTCTTCTGCGCATTCAAGGTTACTCTTGGCCTTGTTCGAAGTTACGTGACACTTGCTTTAACAGCAGTTTCCAGAAATACTGGAGTACTGTTTATTTTAATGATTTTCTAACAGTGACAATAATTAATGGAACTCACAGAAATTATTCTTGCCCTTCAGATCCACTATTGAGGCCTTGGACACAAAACTTCAACAGTGGAATGAGTACGAAATACTGAAGGATCAATGTATGACATGGATTCGAGAAACAGACACAAAATTGCACGCTGTTGACCTTAAAGCTACGTCACAAGAGAAGAAGGAACAGCTAGAAATTCTGAAGGTAATTGTTAATAAATGTGTAATTTTTATATTATATTACTATGTGATGAATAATACATCTTTTTGACAAATATGACTGAATTATTTGTATTAAGCGTGCATAGGCTATAAGGAGATGATAATATAAGTCATCCTTCTAGAGCCTGCAAGGAGAAGTTCGGGCAAAGGAGCTTGAAATTGATTCCGTAACAGAGCGAGCACAGCAGCTTCAGAAGGGCACTGTGAGCAGTCGCAGTTCACAGATTTCTGAACTAGGAGTCAAGTATCAGCAAGTCTCACATAAAGTGAAGGTGTGTTTTGTGCAGTCTTTCCGTTAAAATTCAATTTACTGTACATATTTTTCCTTTGATATAAGAATGTAAAAGTTGAAATATCTTTATTTCTTCAGGAATAAGTGATCCAGTTTCTGTATAGAAACTGGGCATTATGTAAAATACCAAAGTATAGTATCCTTGGACACTGATGAGGTGTTGTTAAGCTATAATAAGTAACACTCAGAGTGTTGATATATTTGTGTGACATTACAGCATTGATCATTACCATTATTGCAGTTTGCAGTATGCAGAAAATATCATGGGTAATACAATTTTATATTATATTTATTATTAAATGTTTTGTTCATTTTTTTATTCTGTGTGCATAGGATCTCACCAGTCGATGGCACCAGTATGTGACAAGTCATTTAGAGTTTGAGAGCCACATTGCAGAATGTATGCAGTGGTTGGAAGACATAAAGAACAAATTAGCATATTGCTCTGACCTAAGTGCTTCATCACAGAAAGACCTGGAGGGAAAACTTGAAACTATACAGGTAGGAAATTCTATGAAATATAAATTGTCATTTTGTTGTTCTGTATTTGAATTTGTTAGCATATCTTTGGATAATAATTTTAATCACTACCTGGAAATTTCCAGTTCAGCGGTTTGTCTAATTATCATTCTCTATTTTCCTACAACTTCTTTGAGCTAAATCTAGTATGACTGTCCCTGTTCCCATTCTCACTTCTTCATGCCACTTCATTTTTGGTTTAGGTTTCTTATCTTTGTGATATTATCTGCCTCTTTCAATACGTAAAACATGGCCAAACAACTACAATTTTGACTCCGTTATATTTCATCTATTGACTTAACCACAACTTTCTCTTACAGCATCAGTCCATACTCTGTCCCACATTGTAAGAACCATGCTTTACAGCTGCACATTTCTCTTGCTTGCACTTTACTTAAATATTTTATTTAATTACAGGACTTGCTGCTGTATAAAGAAGAAGGGTTTAGTAAAGTTCAAGGTACAGTTGAGCTGGCGCAGACTGTTTTGGCCAACACAGCTCCTTCAGGCCATGATGCTATTAATCAGATACTTGGAAAATTGCAGGAGGAATGGAGTGCATTGGCCTCGAAAATGATGGAGACAAAGGTATCATACCGAATGAAATACTGAATAAATTGTCAGTAATTTTGAAATTGTAGAGCTATTGGAAGGTTTAAAGCACATTAGAAACAAGGGGATGTGTGGCTGGGGGAAATTTATGGGAATGTATCAAGCTAAAATTGTTGATATTTGTAATTATTTCAAAAGGTAAGTATTCTGAGGAAATTTTATTAAGAAGAAATGTGTAATTTAAAAATAACTCACTATGTTATATTTTAGCGTCCTGTTGCACAGATTTAAGTCCATGATTTATTTCAACCATCTTCCAGTGCATACACTCATCTATCTCCTCTTCTCACTCGCACTACATGTTTCGGCTCAAAAGTGCCATCTTCAGGTGCTTATTCAATTTACGCTAAACTAAAGACAAGGCATGCAATGAACTAGTTTAGCGTAAATTGAATAAGCACCTGAAGATGGCACTTTTGAGCCGAAAAATGTAGTGCGAGTGAGAGGAGGAGATAGATGAGTGTATGCACTGGAAGACGGTTGAAATAAATCATGTCTCACTATATTCAGGAAATGTAGTTGGTATGTCAGTAGTTAATCCAGCCACTAACGGATTTGCAGCTTTGATGTTTCAGTTCTTCTAATGATATAGAAACAGTTCCATGAAGTAATCTATACAGTTGTATCCAGTACCAGAATTTCTGTTGTTACTTCTGTTTTCTTCACATATGCCTGTAGCATATTTTCAGTAACATTTCATTCTTTCAGCATGATATAGTAATTCGTCAGTTAACAAGGTTCTTAAAAGAGCATGTTCATTGAAATTACATTAAACAAATAATTGTTATACTGATAAGGGCTGAGAAAAGAAGGCACATTTAGGTAAATGACTTACTTTCCATCATCTGTATGGCATTATAATATGAATTTTACCTCATGAGATTATTTTTATAGACAATTCTGGATGATTCCATACATCGTTGGGCTGGTTTTCTGGAGCAGATACATCAACTAAACAAGACTGTTGAATACCTTGAGAGTGTGTCTAATGAAATCTCAGAATTTCAAAGTACTATGTCAGAGAAACGAGCTCAACTTGAGAGGATAAAGGTAATGACTTTACACATGTGTATGTATTTTACTTATTGGTTTACTGTAATTTTATTTAAATAGTTTCTTCTACGACTACAACTAATTCCTCCTCCTCATATTCTTGTAGTATTTGTGTTTTATATGGGCCAACAAAATAAAAAACACTCCAGTTTTTCTCTCTTCCATATTCTTTCCTTTTCTCTTTCTTGCTAATTGTTTTCCCTGTTCTTAATGTCTTCAGCTACCTGGTTGAATCATCTTGTTCTGGGTCATCATATAGGACTCTTTTTCTTTAAAATGTAATTCTGATGTCCTTCCCAGTATTCTTGCTCTGTCCATCCTTTTTATGTGGCCAAGCCATTCTGGCTATTTATCTTCTAAATCTGCTGACAAATTTTGGATTTCAGTTTCTTCTTGAACATTTAATTCCTGATTATATTCCGTTCTTATGTTTACGTCAGTACATAACAATTTTATATTCATTGGCTTTTGCTTTTGATTTTATTTGTAAGAGTCCCTGTTACAGCATTAAATGTTTGAATAGGTTTGAAGTATACTTTATTGATTGATGTTCTGCATTATTTATAATCTCGCTGTTCCTTAATCTTCTTTTTGTAGTTTGGTGCAATTTAGAACTTTCATGCCTTTTTTTTGTATACTTTTGTGTATAAGATCTGCATTTAATAGTTCAAAGTAAGGTTTCCATGTTTCTAAATATTTATTTTTCTGAGTCTTTAGTAAAAACATTCCAAGACTGGGATCTTTTCGGTTTTCTATTCTAATTCATTTTCAGCTTTCTTTGTTTTAGTCACTTGTGTTCCTGAACCATATGTTCCATTCTTAATTCCACTTTATAGTTGCTTATTTAATTCTGTTGTGTCACCAAGATGTCCACTTAACATCATCTCTTGTGAATGCTTCTTCAACATGTTTCTGTAGCTTTTGCAATGGATGTTTGCTTTATAGATTGAAACATGTAGCTGATAAGCATGGCACATATTGTGTGTTTCAGAGTTTATATGCAACAGTGGTTGTGTGTTGATGGTATGATATATTAAGTGTGTGTGTGAATTCCACAATATGCCATGAAGGGTCCATGTACATATATGTTGTGAGGGCACAAAAACATTCGTCTTTTTGCCTTGGAGTCAAGAGCAGTCTGTTCCTTTTGAAATGTTCAGAGTAGCTGATTTATCATGTACTTTTTACCTACCTTGCAGTCCATTTGTTGTGCATGTTTATGTGAACAATATATTATGGAATATAAATCTACGTTATTTATTTTACTATATTTAGAAACAAATTGTAATTTTTTCTTATAATACAGAAGATGTCTTCAGGATAGGTTTTATATGCACCATATTTTTGTTTTAATTTAGTGTTTGGAAGAAAAAGTTCGCTGTGAAAAAATTGAAGTTGACAGTTTGAAAGCCAAAGCAACTGAAATGCTTGCCAGTGGGCAGCAAAGTCATGCTGCATCTCAGGCTCAAGAAATCCTCAATAAGTTTGATACACTTGCTGAAAAGATTAAGGTAAGTGGTTGAAATTCTGCATTTTCTTTATGAGAGAAATTTTACATTAATGTTTACTATTTTAAATGAGAACAAATGCTATGGAAAATATTTTCTCTTCTGTAAGGCCAAGTTTGTACTGATCACTAAGTAAAATGAGCTTTTGTGTTGAGGTATAGAGGACATATCAATATTGTATGGTGTCATCCTTTGGGAGCGGTCAGCACTTTCACTCTTATGCTATATTGATAAAGTGATTAAGGTTGATTCTTTCTGACGGACCCAACAGAGTAGGTGTTTCCAACCCTCTTACCTGAGGACAGAAACAGATCCAGCTTCCAGAACGCTGTGTTCTTTAGGATACCATATGATGGACAGAGTCCAAAAGTCCAGTAATTCTGAAGACATATTTACATTTACAACTTTTTATGTTTCTGAATTTTGGCCGTCCTTATTATAGTCTGGACTGAATTAAGTTTAAAAAAAAAAGGTTACGTTATACTGTAATGCTAAGGTAGATCTATTGCACATAATTATTATTGAACAAGTGATTTAGGTTAGCTCTTGCTGACAGACCCAACAGAGTAGATGTCTCTCACCCCCTCACCTGAGGAGAGAAACAGATCAGTTCCCAAAATGTTGTGTTCTTTAGAATATTGGTTTAAAATGTCCAAACCTCAATAATCCCAAGTGTGATACTCTTATCATCAGAATTCTTTAGAATCTGTAAATATGCCTTAATGAACAAAGCATTCCAGTTTTGCTGACAGTGACTAGAATGTAGAATACTTACTTAAATTTTCAGAACCTTCTGTCAGAACGTGAAGATCAGTATAAGGATCATCGCCTGTACAAAGAAGCCTATGATGACCTGACTGGCTGGTTGAGCCGAGCAAGAGAGAAGATACCATCAATGAAGCAGCGACCTCTTAGTGACAAACTGGCTATTGAGAATGCTGTGGCACCACTGGAAGCCTTATTAAACAAACAGACACAGGGAGAGCTGCTGGTTGAGCACCTTCAGCACACAGGCGAAGTGGCCATAGCTAGTACCTCATCACAAGGGCAGGAGAGTATCCGCAATGAGATTAAGGCTCTCAGGGAGAATTTTGAGGGACTGTTCAAAGGTAAGTTTGTTGCATAACCTGAAGGTTGAAGCAGGCTCTATAGGAATGAATATAAAGTCAAGTTAGGACAGAAAGAGGAAAATGATTGGTCCTTCGTTCTTATTGTGTTCCTAGACCCTTCATGTTTCCGACATTCCAGCAAACTTAGGAGAAATAATGACCATTAATAGCAGAAATTATGCTTATCATGCATTAAAGTTGTAAAATGAGTAATTTGATTTGATATTGGAAAAGTAAAAGTTCATATTGGTCTGTAAGTTATATATTTCTTAATTTTAAAAGAATTGTTCTGTATATTTAGTGCTGTGTCACGTTATTTGCATGTTGATATGCAGGTAAGTTTTATATCTCAGAATTCTGTATAATTACACTGTATTACACTGTGTACTATTTTATATCGTTTTTATTGTTTATCTTGACTGTTTCAATGTTTGGAACTTATTTTAATATTATTATTGACATGTTCTATATCCAGGGTTGTATTTCAACCTATGTTTTGGATTTACTGAATTTGAAATAAATGAATGAATGAATGAATATGTATTGTACTGTTTTGTAATTAAGAAATCAAGCAGCAGAAGGAGCAACTTGAAGCAACTGTGCTGCAGTGGCGTGATTACAAAGAAGAATATGAACGTTTGTCTGATTGGCTTCAACAAATTGACATTCATGTGAAGGCCCATAAGACAAGTCTGTTAGCTACTCTTCAAGAGAAAACCAAACAGGTGCAAGATGTGAAGGTAAGATCTCAAGAAATTTAATGTAAATTATTTGATTTTAGAATTCACTTCACAATGTCTTGCCCAAAGCAATTACAATTCAGAATAGTGTACTGATATAATTTGGCTGCTGTTGTATCTGCTTTAGTGGATACAGTGCCACAATACTGTAATATTAATAAATGAAAACAATAAATGTAGTATGGTTATGAATTAATTGAGGATGCACATATTCCAATATAGAACCCACCTTGGGTATTGATGTTAAGGAAGTGAAATATTACTTCATATTGCGATGAGTGAATTGCACTTCCACTGTGAGTAGTAGTTTCATTTGTGTTTTTGTATCGCTGTTAAACTTTTTACTTTAAAACTGAAGATTTTCACCATGTGACTCCACAGTCATGCAGTCATATAATGTTATGTAGTCTTGAAATTTCACCAGTACTAAGCATTAGCAAATGTTCATATTACACATGTTGGAAATGCTAGTAGACTCAGAGATTCTGTGCATGAATGTGCAGGAAATGTGGCATAATGAATATATGTGTTTCAGTTTTATACAGTCACTGTAAATGTTTAGTAAATACCATAAGATGAAACTTTATATCTTAACATTGTTATCGCTCCAGTTTCAGTTAATTCTGCTGTCTTTAGGGATGTTTGCCAAAGATGTAAGAGCTATTAAATATTGTACAATTCATGTCTAAACTAACAATAAAATATAATAAAATCC